TCCCTCACACCCAGCCAGGGCTCTGCTCACTCAGCAGGTTCCTGGGCCAGCTTTCCCTCGGGCAGCAGTGCTTGCTGCCAGCTCCTCCTTGGTTGAGAAACGTGCAGGCTAGAGAAAACTGGCCCTGGGCAGGAGAGGCTCCGAGGTGTCCCTGGCAATTCCCAGGCTCCTGGCCTCTCTGGGATAATGGGAAGCTGTTTCCACCTTCAGATCAATTGAAATCAGCACCTTGTTTGGGTGAAAATACAAGATCTGTTGTGTCATGGCCTCAGCAGTGAATTGATTACAGGAAGCAGTTGCTGTACATGCAAGAAATGCCTCTCAGCTAGACAGCAAGGAGCAGGTTGGTTTGTGTCTGTGATCTGTGTGCTTGCCTCAGCAGATGAAGGTGTCAGCAAGCACACCAGCAGATTTCAACTCTGCTGCCGCCTGACTCTTCCAGCTCGGCTCTTGGAGCTCTGGAAATGTGTTCCTTTGGAAGCAATGTGTGGAGCAGCCCACGTGAGCAGGGAGCTTTTTCCTTTCCTCTTGAAGCACCAGCATTTGGGTGCCAGGCACAAAATCCTGGCTGGATGCTGCTGTGGGCTGTGAGCTCTGCTGCCCTTTGCAGCTCTTGCCTTGATCTCCTTAATGGCCTCAGCTTGGGTCCTGCTTCCCAGCTGAAGCCAAATGGGAATGATTCATGTGGGAGAGAGGATTTGAACAGTTACGGTGCAGTTCCACAGGGGATTATGATGTCCCTGACAGATGAAGGGGATGGCTGCCCATCTTTTCCAGCAGCTCTGAGCCCTGTGTGCACCCCTGCTCCACAGGAGGAGCAGGCAGGAGGTGTGAGAGCCCCTAGCCTGGTGCTGGGGGATCGTTGCTATCAGCAGAGCTGTGGTCTGTGCTGGTTACAGCGAGCTGTGAGACGAGGAGAGAATGTCTCAGCCTTTCCCCAGGGGCTCTGGCTGTCTGCACCCTCTCCTGCAAAAGCACCGTCTCTGCTTACACAAGTTACATCCTTCCCTTTCCTGGGCCTTTTACTCCTTGCAGTAAGCCTGCAAGATCCCAGCAATGGGAAATGGTTGGTCCAGGCAGATGGAGGCCTCCTGAGTACCGTGTGAACCAGCTTCCCCAGTGTGAATTTTGGCATGAGATGGGAGTGGGTTCTTTGGGAGATGCTCTTTGGTGGAAGCCAGTCGTGCAGCACAGGATGCAAGAGCTTCCTTCAGTCCATCATCTTCTCTTGACACCTCTTCAAGAATTATCTGGCTGGCTTTATCCTGTGCTTTGTAACTTGGCGTCTGGCAGCTCCCTGGAGAAGGGCCTCCTCTCTCCCTTCCCTCCTTACAACAAGCCAATGTCTCCCTGCTGCCCTGCCCCATTTTCCTGGGATTACTTGCAGATACCCTGCAGTGCTCTTGCTGTCTGACTGCTGGGGCTGTCATTCGTCCAGTGAGCCATTTTTGATGGGAATAGATGTAACCTCTTAGAGATCAGTCTCGTATTGAAAATGCAATAATATAGAAAGCAGTTGCTCTTTGAGTCAGCCCTTGAGGGCTTCTGACTTATGTCTGCAGGGCTTAATGCAGCAGGGAGCATTGTCCTAATTGATGAGAGCTCTGTGTTGCTCCAGAACAGCAGTATGTGATCAATATGGGGTAGAAATGGAGCAGCATTAAATCTGTTCCTTCCCAGGACCTCCCATGAGAAGTGCAAGAAATATTTCCAGCCTCAGAAAGTGATTTCCCAGCTGGAGACTGACGGGGCCACATGTCTCTGTGGGGCTCTGCAGCACTGCCTTCCCAGTCCTGTCCCGTCCCCACGTTTCCATCATTACATCAGATCTCTGCGCTTCATAAAACCTGATTCGAAGCTCGAGTCTCCCTCACATTTGCTGTGTAGCTGAGGCAGAAAACAGATGAGAACAGCACTGAGAGCTGAAGTCTGGGGGAATGTCTCCAGCTCTAGTGAGAAAAGGGTCATAAAACACCAGGAGTGTTGATTTAATGCATGTCTTGCTTTTGGTGTGAGAGAAAGAAGGGATTTTAGATAGATTCCTTGGCAGAATGCAGGAAGGAGATGATCTTTGTTCCCTTGACAGGAATGTTTCAAGGGCAGACAGTGATGCTGAGGACAGTGACCTTCTAAATCTGCACTGTAATCTCAAGTATGAGCAGCCGTGAAGGCACATCAGTTACTCTCATGAGGAGCTCTGGCTCCTCGCTCTGCAGCATTGGGGCTGCGCAGTTGGGCATCTCCCTGTCCCATTGTTCACAATGATGGACCAAGGCCGTGGCCCTGTTGCTTGTGGGGTCCTGCTTGTGGGCTGGGGTGAGATGCTCTGCCAGTGCCAGGCTATGCATGGCAGGGCTCTTTGGGAATCTCACCTGGGAGTGAGAATAATTCCCAGCAGCTGAGGCAGTGGGACCCTCAGTTGCTCTGTCAGAAGCCTGCCAAGTGCAGGATTTGCCTCTTCAGATGGCATCAACTCATTCCTGTATTGGTGAGATCACAGAGCCAGATGTTGTTGCTGTTAGAGGAGAGGTTTCAGAGGCTGTCTCCTCATGACTCCAGGGTGGTGACTTCTCCACGCCTCCAGCTGTGTAAACCTCCCCTTAGGAGCCACGGGAGCCATGTGGAAGATCAAAAGGTGCTTCAGCTCTGCTGCCTCTGTTGCCCTTATACTTAGAGTGTAATTAGAAATACAATCCATCCCCTGTACGCCGGTGCCATCCCAGCCTGTCTGAATTCCACAGCTATATTTTGTGATTACCAGCACTGGAGCAGCTATTCCCGGTTCCCTGACTTCCCCATCTGCTGTCTGCCTCGCACAATCTGAACACAATCCCACTGGGAGACAGGATGTATTTGTCACCTGGCTGAGCATGACCGTCCGGACCCTTGAGGTCTTCTGCATCCCTTAGTGGAATGTCTTTGCTAACTAAGAGTGAGGAGGATGTAGGGGTGGCAGCGCCTAGCATGGGCGGGTTCGTGGCTGAAAAACAGCAAGTTCCATGAATAACTTCCCTTCTTGGTTATGATCCAGAATGGTGTATATCACTTTGAGAGGCTTGTGGGCTCAGACGCCTTTGGTTTTGATGCTCGATACATCCTTAAAGTTCAGCCATCTGGTAGAGCACCTGCCTTTGCCTTGCCAAGGAGTGAAGAGCAGATTCCTGTGGTGCAGTACCCTGGGATTTATCCTGACGGAGCTGAGAGAGACAGGGACTGAGTCATCCCAGGGGGTGGAAAGGGGATAAGGAGTGATGTCTTGCTGTGTCCTAATGGAGCGGTTCTCCTGCTCCATGCCAGGTGGAGCCGCACATGCCTGGGCTCCCAGGGCAGGGGTAGGGAGGGTGTGATGTGCTGTGGCTCAACAAGGTGCTGCTCCCCTGCTCTGCTTCCCATCCCCTCACTGCTGGCAAAAGGGAAGGCTCGTGTGTGCTGTGCCAGCGGTGGCCCTGGCATTGCCATGGCCAGGCTGCGAGTCCCCTCTGTCCCCAGCACGTGCACCACCCTTCCCAACATGTGGGCTGTGTTTCCCAAGCCCCATCTGAGGCAGGCTAGGCTGCTCCCATGTGCTCCAGTGGAATGCTTTGCAAAGCTTGCGAAGCGCCACAGGGATGAAACCTGAGGATTTTATGACGCTCTCCTTGTGTTTCCAGGCAGGGCTCTTGGCCAAGGCAGGGCTCGCTGAGCTGCAGCGAAATGGGATGTTTGGGCTAACCTGTTTCTGGGAATCTCCTGTCCTGGGAGAGGAGCCCAGCTTGCTGGTGTTGCTGCACAGTGCTGCAGCTCTCCTCTTTGCCTCTTCCCACTTCCCAACTGACTTTTAAAAACCTGTTAAAAGCACTGGAGTCCTTCTCAAGTCACATCCCTGTGCTTTGGAGGACATGCTGACGAGTGCAGCAGCCTGAGAGCATGATGGGAACACGTTTTTCAGAGCTTCTGATGCAAGGGGAAGGGGAGGGGAGCTGGCCTGCGTGGGAAGGGTCCCTGGCACTGCAACACAGAGAGCTTAAAAAGAAAGAAATCTGCAATTTGTTTAGCTGTTTCCTCCCCAGTTTTCTCACATTCCTGGGGCTGACTCATAAACCTGCTGCTCTGCATTTCTGGTACTCAGCCTGAGGGCCTAATTCATGTGGTACTGGGTGTCTTGTAGCTCTGCAGTACTGTTGTGGAGCATGTGGAAGAGCTCAGCACAACATGCTCTGCACCCTACAGGATTCATCTTGGGGACCCCTTGTCTGTAGCAAAGGAGAGAGCTGATTGCTATGGAATTAAAAACAGTTTGCATGTTTCTTGAGCCTTCGGGAAGTGTCCAGACGAGCTCTGTTTGGGATGCTGCTCTGTGCTTTACCCAGGGCTTGGGCAAGTTGTTAATGGGGATTCAGACGGGGATGGGGTGTACATCAGATCCCCTCGGCTGGGGAAAGTTGGCCTGGATAGTCTATAAATACAGCAGGGTCAGGAAACAGATCCGTGACATTTTGCATTAGCGGGGAGAAAACAAAATTTCATCCCAGGTTTTATTCAATAGAGTAACTGATAATGAACCTTCCTCCGAGCGGTCCATCGCCATGGCAACCGGCGTGACACGCTGGGATGGAGGCGAGTGGCGCCGAGAGGAGGGCGGGCTCCTGCCTCCGGGGCGGGCGGCAGCAAATGGCTTCACCGCGGTGCATGGATGGGCTCCTGCCCTGGCTGGCTCCCGGCGGCAGAGGTTCAGGTTGGCCCGGGGACGCGGTGTTGGTCTGGGGAGCGTTGGCTGAGGCTCGAGGTGTTGGGTTTGCAGCACTGGGTGGTGGTGGAGCAGCTCTTTCCATCGTGGAGGCTGTCACTGTCTGTCCTGTCCTAAAGGGAAGAGGGAGAGAGCGTTGTGCCTCGTAAAGCTCCACTGCCTGTCAGCAGGTTCATGGGCTGCTCTCTTCCATGGGATACACCTGAAGGACCCTGCAGGGCTGAGCAGGGGATGAGACACCTTGGAGCAGACCCTCGAGGTTGTGATCTCTCTTCCCTTTTGTCCAGGGAGGAAGGGTTCATCCTTTGGTTCATCAGTCACACATTGTGCAACCCATGTGCATTGCTGACCTTTGGCTTTTCTTGTTTGGTGTTTTTCCCACCCCCTGGAAGAGCAGGCAGTGGTGCTCTGAGGTCAAACCCAGCACTCTGAGGTCTTATCTTCATGAGCAAGAGCAGTTGTCCGACTCCACGTAGCCAAGAGCATCAGGCACTTGTCTGGGATGCAGATTCAAGCTAAGTCCCTCCTGTGAATGTGTCCCCAGCATATCATTGCTGGGGACCCTGACACAATGAAGTAGGCACTGGGTGAGAGACAGGCTTGCCTTGTGAGGCAGGGAAAGGGTTTAGGAGCAGCTTCCTTCCCAGGGAAGGGCTGTCAGGGAAGCAACAGGAGGTGGAAAGGTGCCAGCTGGAGCTGCCCACCCTTCCCGGGGTATGGCAGGGAGAGCCACAGGACTGAGTGAGGCCCTTGAGGCTTCAGAGAGGGAAGGCAGCTTTTCCCTGGCCCTTGGTTTTGTAACCTTTCTGCATGTTAAAACCTCCTGGTTTGTCCTTCAGAGGCTGGTGATCACAGAGCCTGTTGGGGCTGGGGGCCTTGTCTGTGCTTGTCACCTGCCTGCTCGAGTGCTTTGTGTCCGTACGCCAAGAGCAGGTCACTGTGGACTTTAGGATGGAAAATAAAAGCTGGAAGTGGAGCAGGTTGAATTCCTTCCAGGCGGGAATCATAGATCTCCTGTCTCCTGGGGGCATGTTGATGAATGTGGCAGACGTTCCTGGTCATTATTTCATAGCCTGTGGGCTTCTTTGTGACAGGCATCATCCCTGTGTCTGGTGTCCTTGTTGGTCATCTGGTTTGAAGACTGAATCTCTGAACTCCCCAGCCTGCCACAGGGAAAGCTCTTTGCAGAGTCGCTCTTTTATCTCTTGCAGAAGCAGGCGCCAGAGTCAGGAGGGAGAGCAGATGGTGACCTGGTTTTGCCAGTGAAAGAATGAGGCTGGAAAGGCACTGTTGAAGTGAGGACACGGGGAAGAGGCTGCCTGGCAGTGCCTTACATAAACAAGAGCTCATTTGAGCCAGCCCGGGCCTGAGACCTGCCTCTTCCCATGCTCCAGGAGGAAGATGTGATGGGGAGGTGATGGTAGAAAATGTAGATCTATGTGATGCTTGATTCTTAACCTGTGGTGTTAAAAGCACGTGTGGTACTATGGGAGGAGTTTGTCCACCATGTAGCTGGTCTTTGATTGTCACTGCATAAGTGACCCTCCATGAGATAGACCCCACTGTTCATGTTTCTGCCTGATCCCCAATATTTTTCCGAAGCAGGAAGGATGAGTGTGTTTTTCCCTTTGTTTTCCCATGTGCAGTTAACTATTTGAAGATGATTCACTGTTATGCTCATAAACATATGCTTCTGCTTGGTTGTTGCTAATTTCTTGGCTTCCGCAGCGTCTTCTGGGAGTTTGGCCATGTCTGGTTCGTGTCGAGTGAGCAAGTGTCGTTAGTGCCTATTGCTTTGTGAGGGGTTGGCTGTGGGGGAGTTGTGGGTTGAAGCTTGGTCCCTGCTCACATTCATCTCCTGCCTTCATCACAGCTTCATCGCTGGCAACTTCTGCTGTAGCAGGTTGCCCTGCAGAGCGGGTTGCCCTGAGCAGGAGAACTCAGAAGTCACTTGAGCTGCAGGGCTGGGAGGTGCTGGATGCGTTACCCTGGGAGGGACTGGCTGGTCTTGAGATGTGATCTGCAGTGGAAGATGTGGCTGTCACTTCCCAGTGGGGAATATGGAATAATGGAGAAAGGATTCAGAGGGTGGAGAAATGAGCCCTTTGCCTTATGATAGTTCATGCAAATCTGTCCTAGGTCCTATGTAGGTCAGATTTCCAGCTGCTAGCTCCTGCATGAGATGGAAGGTGGCCATCAAGGCCAGGCTGGGGCTTGGAGCAACCTGCTCTATTGGAAGGTGTCCCTGCTTGTGGCAGGCGGTTGGAACTGGATGAGCTTTAAGGTCCCTTCCAGCCCAAATCATTCTGTCATTCTATGGTCTTGATCCTACACAGGGCAATGCCCTACATCAGCTGCTCCCCACACCACCATGGCACAGCTTCCCTGGAAATCCCAGCTCTGTTGGAGCTAGCCCAACAAGGGGATGGATGTCCCTGTGTTTAACAAGGGTGCCGTGTACCAGCCAGTTATTTGGGAGGTATTAATGGGAGGGAGAGAGCGTTTCCAGGCCTGGGGAAGCAGCAAAATAGTCTGGAATGGTGCAGATGTGGATGTGCAGGGACATACTAAGAGCAAGAGGCTGAGGAGTGCTGTGGTGATTAGGAGGGGATACAGGGAGGCAAATGAGTCACTTGGAGATTAGGTAAATCTCAGCAGGATTATTACAAGCGAAAATCCTACAGATGTTGGATTTCAACAGCTTGAGAAGTCACCTTAAAAGGGGAATTTTCTAGGGCACTGACCTTGGAAAAATGCATCTTGTTTTAATGGGGATTTAGGTGTAAAACCCTGTCTCGTTCTGGCTCTGCTGGTCCATCCCTCTGTAAAAGAGATTCATAGCCCTTCGCAGCCCACGTGGAAGGGCAGATGGCCCAGCACACAGGTCAGCAGTGTCCTCTGGGTGCAGGACAGGGTACCCCGGCTGTCCTTTGGTGCTCACCATGTCAGGTCCTGCTGCTCTGAGCCTGCCATGGTGATGCTCCCCAGCTGTTTCTGCAGGACAGCAGTGATGAGACAGAGTGGTCCTGGTTCTGCTCCAGGGCATATGGCACTAGGGGATGCCTCCTGTATCCCTAGTGGCTGAGGCTGGGCTTTGAGCAAGGGGTTGCTTGCAGGGGAGATGTGATTGTAAAGGCCATCAACACTGGCTCAGAGAGCCAAGGGGAGCAGGCTTTGTTGTCTCAGTAGGACTGTGCACTGTCTGGGAAGCTGGCTGCTGCTGTGATCCAGCCTGTGATCCTTCTGGATGGAATATTAACTTTCAGAGCATGAAATGTTTATGAGTGAGGCAGTGGTATTTGGGCATGTGGTCGTGCAAGGCAGTAGCTCTGAGAGAAGTGCCCTCCTCTTTTTCTGGCAAACTTATCAGGATCATCAGTTTCTTTTTATGACCATCCAGTGGGAAGAAGGGGGCAGTTGGACTATGAAGGTTTCTGTGGGAGGGTTATGCCATGATGGATTTTGCTGTAGGGATGCACCTTGGGAGAGTGTGGCAGTTTAGCTGGCTGCTCTTCAACCCCTCTCTTTGTCTCCTGCAAGGTTGTAGATTAGCCTGGTGTAGGCAGGGGAGGGTGCAACTGATGGCCCTGTAACTGCCTCTTGTTCACTCATGATCAGTGATTTCAGCGTAGCTCACCCTGCCCTTGTCCTCTGGCTTCTGCAGGGAAAATGGGTATTAATGTCGATTTGGAGTCTGGCTCTGCAGCCCTGCCTCATGTCCCTTGGCTTGGTGGGGCCTCCTGTGAGCACCAGGCAAGAGGAGAAGGAGCTACCACCGCCCAGACCCTCATCAATGGGGGCATCTGCATGGCCTTGGGTGCAGAGGGGGTTGTTCCCGTTACTTGAGCTGTCTGCAGGGGGAAGCACTCCTCACGGGTCGGTGGCCCATTCGCTGGCAGTGCTCCTGAGTCAGTCTCTTGCACCCTGCCCCTTTATTTCGAATGGCAGCTCTGCAGCTCCCCAGGTAGCAGATGAGCAGCACTCCTGTCCTGGAGCACGGTGCCTTGGCTCACTAGGAACAGATTAGAACTTAATCCTGAAAAGGTAAAGCAGTGCTGCTCCTCAGGGAGATTAAGTGATAGCAGGAGGAATTTTCCAGCCCATGGAGCAGGCGGATGGAGGTGGTGAGCATCCCCCTGCATGGCAGCCCCTCTGCTGGGCTGTCACAGGAAGCCTTTATTCCTGACCCAGAGCATTCTGTTCTTTTAGGGGTAACTGGGCTCTGTGGTGCTTTGAGCTGCCAGGATCCACCTGTCTGGGCTCGCGTTCCCATCACTGGGATATGCCCGGCGAGGGGGACACATTTCCACAGCCACGTGCAGCGATGCTGACCTGGAAAGATCTGAAGGACGCGTATCCACAGCAGATAAAAGTCTGCCTTGTGTTTGCCACAGGCTGCAGCTGCTTCCAAATGCCGTTGCACAACATGAGCTCTCCTGTCGTGTGGAATTTGGCTTTAACAACCTTACAATTTAGCAGAGTGATGATTTTTCCCCTGACTTGTTGCCATCCTGGGAGTGCTGTGCTGCCCTTAGAGATGGACTGGAGTTAATAAAGGGTCAGCCCCTTTGCTAGGCACAGCACAGCTTTCTGCTGGGGCAGGGGTGAGGAATGAACTAGCTAAGCAAGCTGGCATAGGCAGGAATGAAAATACTGGCAAATACACCTTGGTCAGGCAGGTGATGGCCTCAGCCCTCCTGGTTCAGCAAGAGCACATATTAAATAGTCACCTCATGCAAGAGCAAGGTGCCTCTGTGCCATTAATGAGGAGGCTGTGATGCTGTGTGGGGAGATGCATGTCTGCATCGTGTTTTAAGAATGATTTCAGGCAGAAAATGATTTTGTTCTCTTGTCTGCATTGATACAAACAGGAGACAGGTTTGGGGAAGGCAAAGAATAAATTTTAATTGGATGCTGGGACTCAAATGGGCCTTCAATAGATCTGAAGAGCACCTTGGCCCGGAGGCAGCCTGCCAGCACTGGGAGTGCTCTGCTCGAGCCTTCAGTGCTCCTTGGCCTTGGTGTGTTGGTGCTGGTCTCCTTCACCTCTCCAGGGGCTGCAGTGGTGACCCTGGGGCCCACAGTCCTGGCACTCACAGGTTGGTGAGGACCAGTTCTTGGTGCTGCTGCTGGCAGAGGGCTTTATGGCACAGGTGAGGTTTCCCAGGGAAACCAGCGCTGTCTTGTTCAGCCTCAGGTCCTGCTTTCTGAGCACAAAATTAGGAATTCAGAGAGAAACTTGGAGCCACAGGGAGGTTTGGCAGGGCTGGGGTCTGGTCCCCAGAGTGCTGAGCCCCTCTTTGTCCCGTTTCCCAGAAGTACCTGCTGGCTGTCCACATGCTGCTGGGACACAGGTACCTTTAGCATCACCCAGAAATGTGTGCTGGGTCTGTGCCTGCTGTGCAAGGGTGGGCTGCCCTGAGCATCCCCCAGGCTGGCAGGGAAGCAGAGCCAGGAGCTTGCAGGTCGCTGTTCAGCAGAGACCAGGAATGATGGGCAGAGCTGCCTCCAAGTCCTGAGGGATAAGTACTGGGCCTCCCAAGGAGGATGTGGCTGCCAGCACCTGCGCTGGTGGCCCCGTGTCATCAGCCCTGGGAACAGCAGCATTCTGCTGCCCTCTAGTGAGGTCTGTCAGCCGGGCTCCCTTTAGGGTCCCCAGCACACTAACACCGCCCTTCTGGGGTCTCCAGAACAGGCCACGTCTGCAGGATGGTGGCACTTTGTGGTGGGAACTGCTGTCCCAGGGATGGCTGCTCCATGTCCTGCTGCAGGACAGGTCACCAGCTTAAAACCGATTGATTCCCAAAGCATCTGGGCTCATGTTCCCCTTCCCATGGCCTTATGGGACCCCTCTGTCTCCCTGCCATGCCCTGGGCTGCAGAGTGCTATCACCAGGGTGTCAGCCCCGGCCACCCCTTTCACTCTGAGACCTTCTCTTTGCCAAGCAGCGAGGAGACACTTACCCTGGTCCTGCCCGGGCAGCTGTTGCTATGTGTAAATAATACAAATTAATTAAAAGGAAAATCAAACCGAGGCACATTTATAATGACATAATCCGTGAGCCCCTGGGATAATTAATTATGGTAATAGGGCCGTCCGTACTGTGAGGCCTTGCGGGGGATCAGCGGTGTGGCACAGCAGGTCACAGTGGGAGGATGCAGGGATGGTGGCATGCAGGGATGTAGGGTCCAGCTCTGCCTCGGCTGGGCTCTGCTCCCCTGTGGTGTGGATGCAGCCAGGCCCCTGTCCCTATCTTAATGAATCTCAGCTGTGGGAGGTTTCCTGTTCCCAAGGTGTTTTATCTCCTTGCTTGTGGTGCCCCAAGCCCAGGCTCACCTCTTGCCCCTTCCAGCTGGGGAATAATTCAGTTTTGAGAATGAAGTGCTTCTGAAGTGCGTCTGAAGGAAAACAAGGGTTAGAGCTTCCCTCTGCTCTGCCCTTGGGGGTCCGATCCATCCCTTTCTGCTCAAGGAGAGACGTGGGCACAGTGGTATGTCGGCCTGTGACACCATGTGTGTGCCACATCTCTGTGTGTGTGCAGGGTCTGCCTGGGTGCTAAGATGCAATTTGCAACCCAGCACCATGGGGAAGAGTGTTAATCCCCAGGGATCCCCCAGCAAAGGGCCAAGTAGCCTTGGCTGGCACGTGACACTGGGGATGCCACCAGCACCTCCAACATGCTCCCTTCCTGCCATCCCCT